TGGGCGCTGATCTTCTTCAGTGCCAAGATTGATCTCTTCCAAATTATCACAAGAAGTCATGTGATCCTCTTCTTCCTCAACTACACTTGGTCCCTCGCCTTCTTCAGGCAAGTCTTCTTCAAGAACACAGTCGACCACCAACACAGGCTCCTCCCAAGCTAACCTCTGTTCGAATTGATAAATGGCTAACTTCTCCATCAAGACTGTGACTTCGGCCTCCTCTCCACCTTGTCTTGCGACGGCAATACGGCATACTCATCATCATCTTTCACTTCAGCCTTAGGTGGACCATCAAGAGCTATCATAGATGGTCTCACTATCTTCGAGAGTGGATCAATGCAAGCTTGGCTCAAAACCTTGGCACTTGAGAGTACCATGGTACAAGACCCACCATCCATACGTCTAACTTGTAATGGCCCAAAGTCTCCACGGTATAGTGGAGCTTCGATCACTTTGGCTCCCACGGCAAAAGGCTTGGTGTCTGCTTGTACTACTTCGACCACACCTTCCTCATCCCAGAACATCAAACATTGATGAAGCGAATATGGGACACACTTGTTGACATGGATCTAGTCTCTTCCCAACAAATCATTGTAACTTATCACCCCATCGACAAAAAAAAAAAAAAAAGCAGACATCCTTTCTTGACTACCCACTCCCACCATAACTGGCAAAATTCCTCTTGCCAAAATTGAGCCTCCATTAAAACTTGTCACGAAGATCTTTGTAGGAATCGAGTCACCCGTGCTCTTCCCAAGTTTCCTCAACATACAAGTTGGCATCACGCTGACAACAACTCCGTTGTCAACCAAGATTCTTAACATGGGCACACCATCAAGTCTAGCCTTGATGTAAAAGGGTCTCAAATGCCTTAGCATACTCGGCTTGAGCTCTTTCAACACCACCAAGTGGATTGACTCGTCACTTGTATTTTATTTCATAACTTGTTTTCCCTTTGAGATGGCTACATGCATGAAGACCTCTTCTTTAGGTGTACTTTTATCGTTTGCCGATGAACCCTCTAGCTCGTCCTCGAACTTCGATCCTCATGTAGGGTTCTTGATGGCCAATGATGATGTTGCTTCAGGTCCCTGGTACAATACGTAGAATGGGTACCGACCATCATCTCCTCCAAGCAAACCACGTTCCCATGGCCTTCTTCGTGGAGCTCCCTCAAAATTTGTTGAGAAATCTTGCCTTTCCTGGCCGTCTCGATGGCTAGATCTATCCTGCTTCCCAAACGAGCCATCCTCACACTCCATGGCTCATCACTAGCTTCGAGACAAGCGAATGCCTCGGTCAACTCAGCAACTGATCCATCTTCGTCACTTGCTTCTTCCACATCTTCGCTCCCTATATCTCCTTCATAATCTTTTTCGTTGAATTGGAAGACCATGGACAGTATGTAGTTAGTAACAACCACCAGCGGGAAGCTTTCGAATTGGATGGTCGTAGCAGGACCCTGAACTTCCTCCTCATCATCTGTGTTACCCTTGTTGAACTTGAAGTTGTGAGAATCATCTTCAAGCATATCATCTTCAACATACTCATCTTCATATTTGCCTCCTTCTTCTTGGAAGTTGTTCTCAACCCCTTCACGAACTTTGACATCACTCTGAACTTGGACCTGCTTACCTTTGTCAGTCACTCTCACTTTGAGCCCTGTGGTCATGGAGTTGTCCACCTTGAGATTTGGTTGAATACTACATTATATCCTCCATTGTGTCACACCCATTATGTTGCCACGAGCCATTGGGAATTGGCCTTGAAGGGCTTGGGCATTCTTACGAAGGAACCTTCTTATTTGGGTCCTTGTCATCTCAACCACTGCTACTGGTTGCTGATGACAAGCATCATACGCATGCCATCCACCATATGGAACATTTTGCATCTTGAATGTTCTCTTTTGGAAAGGAGCATGAGCCACCCATTGCCTCGGTTGCCCCCAAGTTGGTTGCCTCACTCCTTCCACCTGTCTCTCATATGGCGGATACCTTGTCCTTGGCTTGTTGAGAAAACCAATTCTTTGATGAATCGATGGCCCCGGCTTCTCCTCGTCGAGTTTAAGACTCTTATTGCACTAAACACACAACTTTTCAACTTCATCAGTCATCATTGCGGCCGGGCTGGCCTGTTTGGTACCCGACGAGCTCCCTTGCTCGAAAACCACATTGGGGCTCCTTCGCGGTGGCGTTGTATCCAACACCAGCTTGAACCATGGCAACTCGACTTTGGAGAATTCTAGGTTGACCATGTTGACGCCAAACACCTTGGGGAACGGATTAGTGTCCACCAACATGGCATCCTTCTTTGCCTCAGGGAACTTGATGCGTCCCTTTTCAATGGCATCCTGCAAGACATTACGGAACACCACACAAGCATCAGTGGCATGTGAAATGCTATTATGCCACTTACAATACTTCATCCCTTTTAACTTCTCGAGTGAGGGAAAGACATGCCCCCCCTGTCAACTTGACTTGACCATCCTTATAGAGTTGGTCAAAAATCAAGTCTGCCTTCAAGACATAAAAGGAGTACTTCCTCGGCTGAATGGGAGCACGATTGGGTCTCCCCCCTTGTAGCCCATCTTCAACTTAAGACAAGGAAGCACATACGTATGGCTTCCCTAGAGTTATCTCAGCCAAGTCTACCTCAACCTCATTGGCCTCGTGGCCAAAATGATTGATGGTATAGTCTAAGTTTGGGAAGTATGGTTCCCTTGATGCACTCATACGATTCTCTTCCTCGTGTAGAAGAGACTCGTACCTCACAGCACAAGACATGAGTTGAAACAAGTCAGAGAACTCCTTATCTTGGAATTTCTTCCTTAGTTCAAAACTCAAACCCCCTTGTGGCAACTTGACGAACTCCCTCTCCATCAAATTGACAAAGCAACGATTACGAGCATTCTTGAAGTTAGTCAAGAAATGCTCCACCGATTCCCCTGGCTGTTGGCGCATACATGCCAAGTCAGCCATGGACACCTCGGGCTCAGATCTATAAAACTGAGTGTGGAAGACTTGATACATCTATTTCCAAGTATGGATGGAGTTAGACGGCAAGTTGACGTACCAAGCAAAAGCTGGTCCTGTCAACGAGTTGCCAAATAGTCTTAACTTAACGAAATCTCCTACATCGCCGCATTGGATAGTGAAACGTCCAACGTGCTCTACAATGGACTGATCTCCAGTCCCTGTGAATGTGACACACTCGGGAACTCTGAATCCCCTTTGTAATGGATGAAGTCTATCTACCCATTCAGGATATAGCTTCCGGTATACAGGTGGCATGGAAAGGTTTTACTCCCATGCCAAACTGCTCCGTGAGGAGTTGAGTCACTTGATCCCTAAGGGTGTTGGCATCATGCCCCCCTCGTTGCCCTCCATACGGTGCAAACCCAATGGGGTCCATGCCATGCCCATTGAAATGGGGTGGCGTTGGAGTTGGGTAGCCTCGTGGTGGGATTTGATCCATGTTGCCATCTAGACCAATTTCCAGCTCTAATTGGAACTAGACATAAGATCTGATGAGACTTGGTGCAAAAAGATTTCATATTTTGAAAATTTCTTCCTAGTAAAAGTTGTAGTATTCAAAAATTTATGCAAAATAAAATTTTTTCACTATAATCTGATTATGGAGCGCAAAGTTATGATCGTTTAAAGTTTGACAAAATCGAAAAAATGTCATTGGCTACTCCAAACGACCAATTTTTTCGATTTTCGCCAAACTTTGGACGATCAAAACTTTGTGCTCCGTAATCCGACATTCGCAAAGTTTGTTTTGATTTTGCATAATTTTTTTTAGTACTACAACTTTTACTAGGAAAAAATTTTCAAAATAGGATATCTTTTTGGATATAATGGGTTTTGAGAATAAGGTTAGCTTTACTTTTCACATTTTCACAAACATTTTGAAAATGTTTCTATGAAAAAGGTTGTAGTCCTCAAAAAGTTATGCATAATAAAAAAAAATTCACTACGATAAGATAACAAAGCACAAAATTAAGGCTATTGGAAATTTCAACGTAGTGGTCGAGGCCATTAGACTCAATCCACTACCTCAAAAAGTGGATCGAGGCTCTCTAACTCGATCCAACTAGCGGTTCGAGTTCAATCCAAACTTAGGTATTTTGAGAATTGTTTTTATAAGTGTTGTATTTTAGGAATTTTTTAATTGTTGCTGTATTTGGGGAAAACTCCCACCATCCTCACTAGTATTGAACAAAAATGGCCACCTAAGCAAACCCCAACTTGGATATGGTCCACCACTTACTATTTGGAGGATGATCCTCCACTTTCATCCAACGACGGGTAAAAATGGCCCATTAAATCAAAGGTTCAGATCTATTAGGAAAATAGATAGTGGATTATGGGGCACACGAACTGAAAAACAACTGACAAAGTGTACCCTTTGTGTAACAAAATTTATGTATATTATAGTTGTATATGTATATTTTGGTTAAACAAAAATCATATAAGTATTGAACAAAAAATAATATTTGTATGGAACAAAAAAACATATTTATATCAAACAAAAATCATACTTGTATTGAATATAAATACACATTAGCATACATATTCGTATTGGGTTAATTGCAGGGTTGGTCACTGAAATTACAAAAAACGTTCAAGTTTGGTCACTCAAAATATTTAAATCCATTGGTGGTCCTTCAGTTTACTGAAACCGTTCACGTTTGGTCACTCTCTGTCTAACTCCGTTAACTTTGGCTGATGTGGCAGTCAACTCTCAAAGTTGACCGTTAACTTAGTGACGTGGCAACTAAAAAATTATTAAAAATTAAAAAATTAAATTTTTATATTTTCCACCTCATTATTACATTCATTAAAAAATAAAAAAAATAAAAAACCAAATACCCTACCCGACCCAATCCCCCTCTCCAAATCGGACCTACAGGAATTAGCCGCCGACGGCTCTTCTCTCCGTTCCTGATTCTGCAGCTGCTGGTTGTCATTTTTGGATTGGCTCCAAGCTTGAATCTTTTACAGAGTTTCGTGCTTCTCGGCGCGTTCGCGCTCAATGGCGTCGATTTGGTCGAAGACGAAGCTGATGCGTGCGGAAAGGGAAGAGGGTTTTGGAGGGTCAGAAGGTGAGGCGGCGGCGGAAGAGGTGGAATAGGGTCGGGTAGGGTAATTGAAAGAGTAATTGACGCTCACATTTCTCAGCTCAAGAACATTTAGCATGCTGAAACATTCGAATGAAACAGGGGAGGTTGTGAATTGACAGCAACACGACCGCAGAACCTTGAGTTGTGAGAACAAACGCATTGGCGGACTATAGTCTTCGTAAATTTTTTCAAATGGAAGTCTTTCCATAGTGATGGTTAAATTGTCAATGCCTTTTTCTTGAAGAAACAGCAGGATCTGATCAATCTCAGCAGGGAAGCTCCTTAATATGGGAAGCGAAAGTGAAAGCTCCTGCAAAGGCCCGCGGTGAAGCAACAGAACTGTGACTCTCATCGTAGTTTACACCAACCCCCATCAATCGATGCTTTTCGATCTACCAAATGTGGATGGCAATTTATTTCGAATCCAACAGTTTTACTGTAAAACCCTATTCCACCTCTTCCGCCGCCGCCTCACCTTCCGACCCTCCAAAACCCTCTTTCCTTTCCGCACGCATCAGCTTCGTATTCGGTCAAATCAACGCCATTGAGCGCGAACGCGCCGAGAAGCACGAAACTCTGTAAAAGATTCGAGCTTGGCGCCAATCCAAAAATGACAACCAGCAGCTGCAGAATCAGGAACGGAGAGAAGAGCCGTCGGCGGCTAATTCCTGTAGGTCCGATTTGGAGAGGGGGATTGGGTCGTAGGGTATTTGGTTTTTTTTTTATTTTTTTATTTTTTAATGAATGTAATAATGAGGTGGAAAATATAAAAATTTAATTTTTTAATTTTTAATAATTTTTTAGTTGCCACGTTACTAAGTTAACGGTCAACTTTGAGGGTTGACTGCCACATCAGCCAAAGTTAACGGAGTTGGACGGAGAGTGACCAAACGTGAACGGTTTGAGTAAACTGAAGGACCACCAATGGATTTAAATATTTTGAGTGACCAAACTTGAACGTTTTTTGTAATTTCAGTGACCAACCGTGCAATTAACCCTATTCGTATTGAACAAAAAACATATTTCGTATCTGTGATTTGTGTATTCGTAATTTTTACGACTTTTATTCAAAATAATATACTACATATTAAATTACATATTCTTACTAGACACAAAACATATTAGTATTGTACTGATCCCAAAACATATTTGTACAAAGCAGAAATCATATTCAATCATTTTCGAGAATTTGTACAACACCCAAAACTCTTCCAAAATCTTCCCCCACTAACCTAACCTTGTTTTCTCCAACTCTGTCCCCTTCCCTCTTAGCAACAATAACCTCAAATAACCATGTTTGAACTACAAATTTTGGGAGTCGATTCTGATAGCCGAAAAATAGAGAATCTGTTGTGGTTCTGTTTTCATTCGAGAACTGAACAAACGAAAGACTTTCTCTAACATACCAAACTACACGCCAACACCCAAACGGGACGGAGAATAACCCCTCCCACTCCCTGGAAATCCCCAAAATCCACAAGCCTCCTCTTCTCCTTCGCCGCTGTAACTGAAGCTGGGATCGCACAAAACAAAATTACACTACACAAAACAAAACCCCCCAAGATTACCCCAACCTTCCTTTAATTGTTGTTTCTTTCTTCCTCAGAAACAGATTAGGAGGATTTTTACTATGATTATTATTATAGAAAGAAACTAATAACTAACTCCACCCCAAAACAAAACCAACCAAACCAAGATGGACCCGAATTCAACCTCCATTTTTTTCACTTCATCAGCCCTTTCGCTGTCGTCGGAATCACAAACTTCGGCCCAGCAAACCCATCCGGGTCCACATACGAACCTCCCCCATTCCCCTTCTCCATCTCACCCACCTGCGCCCACGCGCCCATCACATTACCACCGCACCCGACTCCATCTCCGCCGCCGAGGTAGTCGGTAGTTGTGGTGCTGGTCGAAGCAGAGTAGTACGGCCACATTCCTCTCGGGGTCGCAGCATTACCCGCTAACCCAAGATCCACGCCGTAGAACCCGTACCCGTGACCCGACCCGTACCCGGTTTGGTACCCGACGAGCCCACCTTCACCGCCCCCACCTCCTTGATTGTTGAGAAGGGAGATGAAGCTTCCGCTTGCGATCCCGTTCTCGCTCACAACCGGCTGCCGATTCTCCTTCAGATTACTGAGCTCGTCGCACTTCCCGGCCTCCACAACCGACCTGAAAACCGGGTCGAATCCGAGGTGAAGCAGCGGGTCGGAATAGTGATCGTGCTGCTGCTCGTGAGCGAGGGAAGACATCGAAGAGGTGGAATTCGAGGACGAAGATGTCGTCGTGTTAGTCGACGCCGACGAATCCATGTTGATATTGCTGTAATTGTTGTTGGTGTCGGTGGTGGTAACTGCGGCGGCGGAAGCGGAGGAGGCGCGTTGGCGCTTGGAGGAGGAGGCGGCAGAAGAGGACTTCCGTGTGCCGCCGCCGACGGGGACGTTGCGGAGGGAGCCGCCTTGGGTCCAGTACCGGCGGCACGACTTGCAGAAATGGCGGGGCTGGGAGAGGTTGTAGTTGTTGTAGTAGCAGAATTTCGTGTTTGTCGATTCGCACCGCGGGCACGGCAGCGACGGCGCGTCGTCCGCGCTCCCACCCATGGATGCCGCAATAGGAAAAGCTAGCGCCGCCGCCGCTGTCGGATTCTCGCCGATTTCTGACGGCATTAGAAGGGAAACCTTTTTGTATATTTTTTGGAGGGCAGAGATTTTCCCTTTTTTGTTTTTTTGGAGGCAGAGATTTTAGCTGGTAAGGTTGCAGCGGTGGAATGTGGGGTTTATAGAGAGAGGTTGAGAAGGAGAAGGCGGTGAGCGAGGGGATGGGTTTTGATTCTCTGCTTTCGATTTCCTTCACCGTGTTGCTGCTCTTGAGTCTTGACTCCTTGATCTCGACACGTGGCAAGTCTACGAGTCGTTCTAGGTTAGATGAGGGCTGAAACGTGTGATCTGGTGCGCCTGTGTTTTTCATGTGTTCTCGTGCAACATTCTTGACGGGACGGGACGAGACCTAATCAAATTGGGCAATTGTCTAGAGCGTTCCGCTTAATCGGAAAAATACAGATAGGGTTGGAGGAACGAAATAGGAACAATAGTAATGGTTAATGTATCATATGCTGTGGATTGATTCATGAATCTTTTTGTTACTAGTAGTCAGTCACTGAATTCGAACTTAGTTCGTCACGTGATGCGTATGACGTATGGTGATTTTTAATTGAAAATTTTCGTTTTGAAGGACTTAATTATGAATGTAAAGACATTGTTTTTCTCTCTCCAATTGAAATTGGCGTGTATGAACGGTTTGTTGATTAGAGGGGCCACTTTAAAGTCGAATATCGCGTTGTGTATGCTCTTTGATGCATTGTATTCCTTCAGTTTCAACTACCGGCTTTTGTAAGATTATGTTACGTTGTGTTGTGTTGTCAATAAAGTGGTGAGGAGCGGCTTAACTTGATTGGTTGGATTCATAGAATTGAACTTGACCTGGCACTTGCTTGCTCACGTGCTATATACCTTTCGGTTTTAACTACCGACTTTGTAGGATGCAATTATGTTGTTGCCATCAGCTTTGTTGTCAGACACCGCCTTGACCTTATTGGCTTAAGCTGATAGAATCAGAATCCAATAACATGACAGGCTAATTGAGTAACAATTAAACTCAACCATATCTCGTGAAGTTAATTCCTGCATGGAGCGTTCTATATTTCATAACATGTCGTCGCGTTTTTTTCAATTTCAAACCACTCACTTCTAATAAAAATTAGCGAAGTGGTTGTAAGGTATACTTGAATTTTATCAATTGACAAGATGGAATGTGAACCAAATAACTTATTAGTCCATTGAACAACATTTGAAACTCTCCACATCCAACATTATTATGCCCAGGGTTTTATCTATTTGGTTAGGAAACTCGGTTTAACTTTCACATCTAGTTCTTATGCACTGAATCCACCTATTTTGACACTACATTTGGCAAATGTTTTTCCACGACTTGACATAACTTCTTGAAAATTGATTTGCTCTGGTTCTTTGACTGGAAGATATTTTTATGCACCTTGGTCTATCTGTGGCAAATTGCTTGACATTACTTCCACATCTAAAATTAATGTTGCTTTTACTCTGCTCTCTCTTTGGTCATTTTCACCATCTTTTGGTTCAATCATTGGTTGAGCTAGTCTCTGGGGAGTTTAAGATCATCTAAGATCAACACTGATATAGTTTTGCTGAATTTTTTTGTGTGAATTGACATTGATCTCGTAGTTACAACAAAATCAACAATATAATGGTATAATATTTTCTTATTTATAGTCAGGTTGTATGCGGACCAGTGTGTTTGCGAAATGTATGTGGAGCCGAATTTTAGGCTTAATGTCTGTTCTTTTCTTAACCAAAGAGTTACCGATTAATTTATTAGAAAGGATGTTATAATGATATGATATCCGGCCCGCATGATCTCGTCCAACAGGATTGATCATTGAAGTCCAACCAAGGTCTTTCGCTGAGATTAGGACGTGTAACCGAGAACAATGATTGAGTTATGACCAAAGACATCCTTTGATTACGGCTTGGTTCCTAGGATTTGAATCAAGATGATATACATGTATAATAATGTTGCTAAAGAATTGATATGATTGATTATCATGTGTCGGATTATTTATATGCTTTTAATCATTTGCTTTTACCACTCATACCGCCACCAGTCATTGCATTTGTTAGAAAAAATAGAAACATGCTCACGATCCAATTGTCTAAGAGCAATTATCAACATGCGCAATTGACATGGTTAAGTGTACAGTTACAAACACACCTAACCCAACTTCTTAAACTCTCAACAGTTTGAGTGTTTTGAGATATCACATCTCATATTCGAGTTGTGACACTCTAAACTAGGGATGGCAACTTTGCCCATACCCATGGGTTTCTTTGTATCCAAACCCAATTGGGCTGGGTATAAAATCCAAATAGATGGATATGGGTAGAGTTTGATGGGTTTGTACCCATACCTATTTACTTTGGGTTGAGTTGGGTTTATATTAAATGGATTTGGGTTTGTACCCATGCCCAAATACAAATTACAGTTTGGTACCCAAACTTAATAGACATGCATATTTAATACCTAAAATTAATTTTTTTTGCATATAAGTCCTCAAAATATCGATGGAAAATTACGTTTTGGTACCTAAATTTTTTTGGTCTTACATTTTGGTACCTAAACTTTTCAAGTTTTGCAAATAGGTCCAATTTTTGCATGTGTAGTTAAAACACCCTCAAGTAAATAGATATACATATCCAATCCATACCTATTTAGATTATGGAAGCCCCAAACCCAAACCCATCTATAAACCCCTAAATCCATATGCACTTCACTCATACCCAACCCATTATCAATGAGTCTACTTGGGTTTGGGTATAATTACCCATGGGTGGGTAATTTGCCATCCCTACTCTAAACTTTTACTCAAAGCAAATGATTAGATTGCGATAGGAGTCATCGCTCAACTTTAAGATACAATAGGGATCGAATGATACATTTATGTACAGGCTCGAACTGGGCAAGTCGAACTAATAATTGTAGTACTTCCCTATCCTTCCATCTCTTTTTTCTTGGTAACACTCCTCTATCGTGGGAAATCCCGCTAGCTACAGCAGTATTCCTCACTACTCTTGACACTGACGCCAATTGGCAAGTAGCTTCTTCATATTGCTTACAATATTGGTCCCTGATTTAGTTCTTCTGCTTGCCTGCCTGCCTGCCACTCTGATCTCTTCAACGCCAATCCAGTTTTCGGTTGCTGGGTCAGTGGACTGGAGCATCACGCGCTTCACCATTACTATCATCGCTAACCTAGCCGGTGGCCCAGAAAAATTTCTGGCGGGCCCAAAGCCATGGCCTAATCAATCATCTTGGAGGAACGAATAAGGTACAGTGAGTGAGTAGTGGGATGGAATGGATACATTAGAAAAGGCCGACAAGAATCGAAGGTTGTTGTCTGGACGCGTGGGGAGCAATATGATCTCTAATTCCACTCTCTGCTCGCTGCTGCTTAATGGTTGTTACAGTTCTGCCATCTGCCGCAACTCTGTTCTGGTACTTCTGTACTGTTCTCACCCGATCTTTGAAGAAAGCACTCGATACGGCGACGTTTTCTTTGTCGATTGGAACGAGTTGTCGCTCTCACAATAAAGATTGAAGATTATTTTGGATTTTTCCATTTTTTGCCAGTCCAGTCCACTGCTGAGTTGTGCTGATGGCGTTAGTTGGTTCTTGGGCCACGTGGCGCCCAACTCTCATGTGGGGGCCTGGGGGGACTGGACCACGCGACGCGACTTCTTGGGGGGATGTCAAAGTGGGTTGTGGTCTCTGATATGGGCCTGGCTCAAGATTCCCCTGTCCTGTCTCTCTCCCCTAGGCCCTAGGACCTAGCTGCCTATCGAATATTTCGCTCTTGTATTATTTGGGCTTCCCATTTCAGCAAACAATCCATCTCTTTATAATGATCTTCGGCTTTGTGTTCATCATGCTCATGGCATGCAAGCTTCAGTTCGGTGATGTGCTTCTTCGTGAGTGAGTTGCATGTTTATTGCAATATACTTGTCTATGCCCAACGCTCCCGAATTAGCCGCAGGAACGCGGATTTGACGGTGAGCGTAGAAAATTCGCGAATTGATTTTGTTGGGAGCGCGGATTTCTTGCGGAATAGCGCGGTTTGACAAACAGTTATTTAATGGGTTAATTGCATGGTTGGTCACTGAGATTACAAAAAACGTTCATGTTTGGTCACTAGAAATATTTAAATCCAATCTTGGTCACTCAAATTAGTAAAACCGTTCATATTTGGTCACTCTCCGTTAGTCTCCGTCCGTCTCCGTCAAAAAAGTCCGTTAAGTGATGACGTGGCGGACAGAATCATCTAATCAGCCCTATTTAACCTGAAAAGGGTGATACCCGACCCGCCACGTCACTAAGACCCGCCATGTCATCTAGACCAACCCAACCCAACCCAACTCTCTCTTCCCTTCTTCTCCAATCTCTAGCTCTCTTGGTGAAAAATAGTCAGCCAATCTTCCGATCTTCCACACCAGTCTCTTCATTCCTTCCTATCGACCATCCCCAATTCCTCCATCATCCCTTCCAATCTCCCTCGTCGATTTTCCACTCCCTTCAACTTCCAGCATCTTCCTCTCTCCGACTTCCAACCGAAGGATCTGAATCGTTCCGGCCACATTCCTCTCACGCTCTGCTTCTCTACTTCCTAGCCCTCCATTCCATCCATGCTCGGCGTCTCCCTCGGCTCCAGAACCGGGTCACCGTCAAAACCCCTCACTCCCTCGCCATCCTCAAATTGGGATCCCCATTTTCCTTCATAGTGGCGGCTGACATCTCTACAGTTAGAGATCTAAATCGGCGACATAGATCTTCTCAGCTAGCTGTCTCTCCTGGAGTGAGATTTACTATCAATTTTTTTTCCCTTCTCAATTCCAAACTCTCGAGGAAGGTGGAGAGAGGAGGAAGGGAGCAACAGTCCTTCTTCAATAGTCTTCCCCGCCGATGATGAGAACGAGGATGACGAGGTGGTTGTGGTTGAAGAACTCGTGCTTCTCGGAGATTCGCCCCTTGCCCAAATCCCTTGATTGCACCACCACTCCCGACCTAGTCGTTGTTCCCCCTCCACCACAGATTCGCCTATCTTTTTAGGGATGTTCTTTTTAGGGATTTTGCCTATCTTTTTTGTTCTTGGTTCGTTTTAATT